AATATATAGTCTTTTGTGTCAATTATAATTTAAAAATCTATTTAAAAATTTGGTAAAATTCACAAAACTAGAGTTCTTTGAATTACTTGGGAGATAGAGTCTCATGTAAATGGATTCATGGCTTATACATCTCAGTTGTTTAAGCTTCTCCTGGGCAACTTCAGTGAGGAAGACCTGCATATTTAGGCTTACTTGGAGGCTGTGTGACTTTAGAGCTGACACATTCCTTTGCTCAGCCTCTCTTCATCTGTGAAGTGGGGATTATATACAGTTATTCTTGTTATTTATTTATTTATTTATTTATTTATTCATTCAATTCAGAGAGGAAGGGAGAGGGATAGAGAGATAGAAACATCAATGATGAGAGAATCATTGATTGGCTGCCTCCTGCATGCCCCTCACTGGGAATCGAGCCTGCAGCCCAGACATGTGCCCTTGTCTGGAATCAAACCCGGGACCCTTCAGTCCACAGGCCAACACTATCCATTGAGCCAAACCAGCCAGGGCTGAAGTGGGTATTATAAAATATGGAAATGGAAATGAACATGTGTGTATTGAGCATACACAATAGCCAGGTGTGGCTTTTTTTTTCTTTTAAAATTTATTTTATTTCCATGTATGGCTATTTAAATGAAAATTAATTTATTTAAAATTTTATAAGTTTTGATTTGAGCCAAATTGACAACAGATGCTGGGGAGAAAGATCTCAAATGCTCCCTAAATTTAAATTAATTAAAATTAAATTAAATGAAAAAAATTAACTTCCTCATTTATACTAACCACATTTTTGTTGTTGTTGTCAATCCTCACACAAGGATCTTTTCCATTGATTTTTAGGGAGAGTGCAAGAGAGCGGGAAAGACAGAGAGAAACATCAATGTGAGAGAATCACATTGATTGGTTGCCTCCTGCCCGAGCCCCAATCAGGTCTGGGGCCTGAGAGGAGCCTGAAACCAAGGTTGCAGAGCCCTTTACTGGAATGGAACTGGGACCCTTTGGTCTGCAGGCTGATGCTCTATCCACTATGCCAAACCAGCTATCACACACACACACACGCACAACACAAATCATAGAAAAGGAGGTAACAAATGCAGTGTAGAAAACAAAACAGAGTGATGAGAAATATCTGAGGTGACATGTTAGCAGAGAACAGGAATGAAAAAGAAAAATCTGGAAATGGTGAGTTAAAGGAATGGGGATCTAGGCAGAGAGCACCACCAGTAAGAAGGTACTAAAGTAGGGATGCATTTGAAAGAACCACGAGTCGCTGGAGCCCCATGGACAGGGAAGAGATAATAGAAAAATCTGAGAGTTGGGCAGAGATCAGATCACTGGGCCTTTGCATCTAGGTTAGGAGTTAGGATTTTTTATTTTTTTCTGAAAGAGCCACGGGAGGGTTGTAAGTGGGGGAGTGACATGGTCTAATTATATTTGGCATTTATCATTCTGCACAATTTTATTAGTTAAATGTTTACTTTACCTGTGTCTCTATCTGATTGTACAATCCTGGACATTTTTATTCTTAGTATATTTGTCAGCCTCAATATAATAGTAAAAACTGTGGAAGAGTTGAATTAAATTAGAAAATCCTTATCACTGACCTACTGGGCTATGGCAGAGTCCCAGAGTATAACAAAACTAATAAAGACATTTTAATTTTATTTTTTTGATTTTAGAGAGAGGAAGGGGGAGAGAACAGAAGGAGAGAGAGTAAGAGACAGAGAGAAAGAAACATTGATGTGAAAGAGAACATCGATCAGTTGCCTGCTGCACACACACCTCAACTGGGGATCAAACGTGCAACCTGGATACACCCTGCCCTGGAACAGAACCCTCCACCTTTTGGTGCACAGGTTGTTGCTCCAACCAACTGAGCCTCATGGGCTAGGGCTGGTCATAAAATCTTTTGCCTCCCAAATAAATAAGGCATGACCTGTTTGTATGTGAAACATTTCAGAATATGTCTCCTAACCTTTGGTGGTGGTTGAGGTAGGGTCAATAGTGTCTATTATAAGTATTTAAAGACAAAGCATAAAGGGAAAGTGAGTATCTAGGCTCACTAAACCTTTCCAAACCTCAGCTTCCTCCTCCAAGAATGGGTTAATAACAGCAGCTGCCTGAGGGTGAAGTAAATGCACAGAGCTCATGACACAGTAAATTCTCCAGAAATGGAGGCTGTAGTATTCATGCATATTTAGGTTTAGTTTTGAGTTCACCCACAGACTTCTGTTCATTACAACAATCCTTTAAGGGAGATAGAACAAGTATTTTTGGCCCCATTGAAGCAATAAGGAAATCAAGGCTTGGCTCAACTTAGTAACTCACAGAGATACCCAGCTTCCTAAGTGGCAGAGCTGGGATCTGAACCCAAGTGTGGAGGAAACTATTTCTTGATGTGACGGCTACCTCTCCCATGAGCTGGACTTGGGCTGGATCAGAGGTTGCCTTCCACAACACCCCCATTAGAGGCTGTCTGATTACAATTGATGTTCATTCTGACATAAAAGAGCACCCCTTCCTTGCTTGCTCCTATGTGCTGGTCCTTGGTATAGGCCCATTGTCCTGACCTGGTTAAGCATTCTAAAATTAGAATAGATTTAATTAAGTGGATTTATTATTTTAATTTTTTTGTTATTGATTTGAGTGAGAGAGAGAAACATCAGTTTGTTATTCAACTTATTTATGCATTCATTGGTTGATTCTTGTATGGAACCGGCAACATTGGCTTCCTGGGCTCTAACCAACTGAGTTATCTGGCCATGGCTAATTTGATGGACTTAAAATACCAAAAGTAAACTGATACAGCCCAGTGGGTGTGGCTCAGTGATTGAGTGCTGTTCTATGAACCAGGAGGTCTCGGTTCTATTCCAGGTCAGGGCACGTGCCAGGGTTATGAGCTCAATTTCCAATAGGAACAAGCAGCAGTCAGCCAATCAATGATTCTCTCCCATAATTGATGTTTCTGCCTCTCGTTTTCTCTCCCTTCCTCTCTGAAATCAATAAAAATATATTTTAAAAAAAGTAAACTGAAAGAAAATCAGGGTTTTGTTCTTTGTGTTAAAATAAAGGTGTAGAAAACAAAGGGCACAGCAATAGGCCCTAAACTTGCCATGGGCCAAGGAGTTATGATAATGAGGGCACCCAGCCCTTTATCCCTGGAACAGGAACCATTTATAGACTCTACAATGGGATTTTCCACCAGGATAGGTCTTCACATTCTTGAATGTGGAAGAACTGCTTAGTCTCTGGGACCCTGTCATTCTAATGCCACTGGGACCCATGCATGGAGATACACTATACATGGACTGGTATGTGCACCGTCAAAAGAGGAAAGAATGGATCCTCTTCTGGCATATTCCCTCTCCTATCCCCTTACTGACCCCAGGGAGCACAACTTCCTGCTGCACAACATGTGGTTTACACAGCCTGGCTAGGCTGCAAGTGTAATTCTCAAAGAAGGAGAAGATCTCCCAATTCAAGTCCCTACCAAATATTTGTCTTTCTGACCTTAGATCTGCTCTTCTTGTGGTATCCACTTATGGGAAGTATAGTGGTTGGGGGAAGCATTCATTATCCAAACTGAATGCTGTGTTTTTATACTCAATCCATCTGCTAATATTTCTTTTTTTGTTAGTACCAGACTTACTAACCAACTGGTTTAGGGCCTGGGAGAGCATAATGAAAAACATTGTTATTAATACTTGGGCTGCTTCTTTTAATTTGTCTCTTTCCTTGTACATGTCTGCACTGTTATTGAGAACTGTGTCTTCAATGCAGTCAATTAGCAATAACTGAGCTACCTCCCTGCCACTGAAGTCCCTGCTGACCTGTAGGTCACCTTGCAGAAGGGAGGAGGCATGGGAGTGTAAGAGCCGGTCATGAGGGGTGGAGTGTGAGGAGAGACTGTTCCATGATGTGACTTCTGTTTGTCCCACAAACTGGTTGAGGCCAGAATGGAGGCTGCTTTCCACAAACGTTCCTTTGATTGATCATAATCGATCATTCATTCTGCATTAATTGGTACACTTTCTTTGCCTCCTGCTCTGCACCAGTTCTTGGAACAGGTCTTTGTCCTCTCCTTGTCAAGCATGTAAAGTAATTTCCAATAGCTGGTAGCATTTCATGAATAGTATCTATGACTGTCCCCACCCTTTACTTCATACAATTATTTGTGCCCCGTGAAGGAGTGTGGGCATCCATTTGGTCTTGCAGTCACCGGAGAAGAAGCTTGCATGTGAGTTTTTCTTACTAAACTGCTAGTTGCCAGATTGGAGTGGCTGCTTCGTTTGCCAGCCTCTCTCTGCCCCCCATTTATGACGGTAGACTTTCAGTTTTGGGGCTTTTCTCTGAGTCTGTGTCTATGAGCACCAGGCTGGTCCACATTCTGCTTTCTGAAATGTTCTCCTGACATCCTTCAATAAAATGCAGTCTGAGTCGTTGCTTCCTGTAGCATGAGTGATGAAACACAGTGATTCACATTCTGACTTAATCCTTGTTAATAGATAACTTGGCAATATAACTGAGGCTAGGGACTAGCCATTGTGGCCACAAGGCAAGACGTACCCTCTACTCACCAAAGGGCCAGTAGACGGTCATCTCAGAGCCCAAGGGTAAGTGCATCAGGACCATTGGAGGACTGGTCTTTGCTCTGGTGTCCCCCCCACTGAGCCTGGCTCTCGTTTCCTTCCTGTTTCCTCCCTAATCTCTCTGAGCATCGGGAGTCAGTGTGGACTTTACATGTGGAAAAGGAGCTGGGAAATAAGGGGCTACTTCCAAGGGCAGCTTTGCCTGTCTGTCGGAGGTACAGAGCTCTCAGCCACCCTGAGCTAACAGAGACCTGAAGCCATTGTATGTGGTCTCCCATCCATAGCAGGGTAGGCTCATGTGATGCATGCAGTTAGGGTGAAAGGAAAAGTTGCAATCTGAGAATTAAGATGTGTCCCCATACATCTGTTGGGGGCACAGCAAACAGTCCATTTTCTCTTTTCTCTTCCCTTTAGGTTGATACCATCATGCCTCCTTGGGTAGCCTTCCCCAGCCTCATACTACTTTGGGCAGGTAAGTGATAGGTGGGCTGGGGTTTGGAAGGCCTGGGCATGAGGCAGTGCAGGGCGTGTGTGGGTGTGGGGGAGGAAGATGGATGTGCTTGGACTCTGTTGGCAAGTAATGGGTCAACTAGTGAGCAAAGAACCAGGCTGAAATCTTACTCCAAAGTAATTCCTTAATTGGTATGAATCACAAAATCTAAGGCTAAGTATAACATTTTGTTGTATGCTGCCATTTCTTTTTAAGAAAGAGGAGGTGGGTAGGTAGTTGGGTATACATGGACTTTTCACATTTTTGTAAGAAATAGTACCAGCGTTTTCATGGTGTAGGAGGAAATGGAAAGAAGACTTGGGGATAGAATGGAAAAGAGACCAGTCTTTTATTTTGTAAATTTTTGTGTGTGTTTTTAATCACATGCAAATATTTCTTTTAAAAATATAATATGGCCTGACCAGCATGGCTCAGTTGGTTGGGCATCTCCCCATGCACCAAAAGGTCTCTGGTTCAATTCCCAGTCAGGGCACATGCCCAGGTTTCTGGCTGGATCCCAAGTAGGGGGCATATAGAAACAGTCTATCAATGTCTCACTCTCACATCAATGTCTCTCTTTCTCTCTCTCGTCCTCTTCCTCTCTCTCCCTTATTTTCTCTCTAAAAATCAATAAAAAATCTTTAAAAAAGTAAAAATAATATATAGGGTGTCCCAAAATATTTATACAGACTTTTAATAGCTAATAGCTGATTTTTGAAAATGAAATGTATTGAAATAAATACTGTCTTTATAATTATTCAAATTGTGTGTATACATTTTTTGGGACACCCTATATTTTAATTCAAAACATTCTATGAGATAGAGAAAATGTTAGGAATAGACACAACCTAAATTTAAAAATAATAATCATCAGATGTGATGTGATTATGGGGAAAAGTTCATTTAAATTATACTTCCATACTAAATTTTTATGTTAGCATGCTGTATTTGTAATCTACAAATGATGTTAGGCATAATCAAATATTATAAAAATCCAGTGAAAAAAATAGACTCCTATTTTACATAACTATCAGCATTTTATTCCCAGAGCGTTTTGAAACTCGCAGTCCAAACCTAGCTGATTAGTTGGGTTATGTAAAGTACAGCATAGGAAATACAGTCAATAATCTTATACAGTGGGGCCTTGACTTACGAGTTTAATTCGTTCTGAGACCGAGCTCGTTAAGGAGCTGTTAAGAGGCTCATTAACTCAAATTACTCTGTCAACTCAATGCAAAAAATCGGCTGAGAGACAGCTGGTATCTCAAAAAACTCGGGACACTAGTAAGTCAAGGCTCCACTGTAATAAAAGACCAGCAACTGAACTGCGGAACAAGTAGAATGACCAATCGACCTGTCGCTATGATGTGCACTGTTCCCCAGGGGGCAGATGCTCAACACAGGGGCTGCCTCCCTGGTGGTCACTGTGCTCCCATAGTGGGAGCACTGCTCAGCTGACCGGGATGAGTGGTGCTCCTACAGTGGGCTGATCCCTACAGGCCACGCCCCCCCTACCAGTGCATGAATCCTGTGCACCAGGCCCCTAGTATTTTCATAATTATGAATGGTGTGAAATGGGTACTAGACTTATTGGGTGATCACTTCACAAGTTATATAAATGTCTAATCACTATGTTGTACACTTTCAACTAATACAATACTGTATATCAATTATAACTTAAAATAAAAAAAATAAGATTAATTAGTACATCTCAGATTTTATTTAAGGACCAACTTGACTACATTTGACAATATAGGGTTTAAAAATATGTATATTTTTATTGATTTCAGAGAGAGAGGAAGGGAGTGGGAGAGAGAGATAGAAACATTAATGATGAGAGAGAATCATTGATAGGATGCCTACTGCACTCCCCCTACTGGGGATTGAGCCTGCATTCCTGCTTGTGTCCTGACTTGAAATTGGCCCTTGACTTCCTGGTTCATAGACTGATGCTCAACCACTGAGCCACACCTGGCGGGCGACAATATGGGGTTTTAATGCCACTAGCACTGGAGAGAGTTTTTGTTTTTAAGTGGCTTAATTTAGTACTTGATTGAATGTTGCCCAGTTCTGTGGGTTCACCATGGGAAGTGGGCCTCGCTCAAGTGCCAGCTGTCATCTACTTATGAGAATGATTTCTACTTGGATTGTTTTGGACCATCCTCAAGAGCATGATCAGCCTTGGCTCTTCTGGAACCATTAGAAACCTATTTTCTAAAAATGGATTCCTGAAAGTTTATTAGACTTCTGCCTATAAGGCAACAATACTTTATTTATTATTTTTATATTTAAATTTTTGATTAAAATTGTTGATTTGTTATTCTACTTACTTATGCATTCATTGGTTGATACTTTTTTGAAAAAATATATTTTATTGATTTTTTACAGAGAGGAAGGGAGAGGGACAGAGAGTTAGAAACATCGATGAGAGAGAAACATTGATCAGCTGCCTCCTGCACACTCCCCACTGGGGATGTGCCTACAACCAAGGTACATGCCCTTGACCAGAATCAAACCTGGGACCCTTCAGTTCGCAGGCGGATGCTGTATCCACTGAGCCAAACCGGTCAGGGCCATTGGTTGATTCTTGTATGTGCACTAACTGGGGATCACACCCACAACCTTGTCATACTGATGTTGCTCTAACGACCCAAGCTACCTTGCCAGGGCCTAATAATACTTGATTTATTTATTTAAAATACATATGTTCATCAGCCCGGTTTTTGGGCTCAATCCCCAGTATTGACAGTCATTTGGTTCAAACATTTTGGAAATTAATTTGATAAAAATATTTCTGCTCTTTGTCCTGGTAATTTCTATTTTAGAAGTTTATCCTATTGGGAAACAATTCCAAATACAGAAATAAGTTTAGCTCTAGTCAGTTTGGCTCAGTGGGTAGAGTGTCAGCTCATGGATTGAAGGATCCAAGATTTGATTCTGGTCAAGGGCATGTATCTTGGTTGCAGGCTCAATCCCAGCCATAGTCAGGGCTCATGCATGAGCCAACCAGTCAATGTGTGTTTCTCACATTAATATTTCTCTCTCTCTGTCTCCCCACTCTCTTCCACTCTTCTAAAAATCAATGGAAAAATATCCTTGGGTGAGGATTAACAACAAGAAAAAAAGAAATAAGTTTAAATTATGTGTTATTTACAACTATCAAAATGCTGATAAAGATGTAAAAAGTAAAACATAAAAAATTTAGATTCAATATTAAAGTCACATGATTACAAATGAAATACACCATGTAAAGAGAAGTGGATATAAATATAAAATTAAAATGTTGAGCCTCACACTCAGTTTTGTTTTTATTGGCAGATGTTGTTGTTTCTCAGACACGCGTGACTGGAGTGGTGGGACAGTCTGTCACGCTACCGTGTACCTACTCAACAGCTGGTGAAATCGCACCCATGTGCTGGGGCCGAGGGCCTTGCCCTTTATCCAAATGCTCAAATACACTCATATCGACCGATGGCTACCGTGTCACCTATGAGAAGGACAAACGTTATAGGATGAATGGAATCATTTCCAGAGGGGATGTGTCTCTAACCATACAGAATGCAGCCCTGTCTGACACTGGCACCTATTGTTGCCGTATTGAGTACAGTGGGTTTTTTAATTATAAAGGGGGGAATATATTTTTGGAGATAAAGCCAGGTGAGTTTGTCTTCCTGTGATCACTTCATGTGCATGAACTGAGATGTTTACTGTTTGGTAATGATATTCTCTTCCTTTAAGAAAGAAAGAGAAGGTTCCTACAATCCTGTTTTTTAATAACTTTGGGGAAATAGAATTACTTACTTGTGTAGAATGAAGTGTTAAAAGAATCTAGAGTCAAGAGCATAGGCTAGAGGGCCTTCCCAGTCTGCAGTGCTTCAAAAATGCTGGTTAGTTCGTGAAGAGGCATTCACAGCTCCATAGGGATATGAAGTGAACATTTTTCTCAAACTGAATTTATTCAAGGTAAACAACCTTACTTTTTCTCTGAGATGATGTCATTGAAAATTTATAACATGACCTTTCTTAACATTTTAAATCTAAAATGGAGATTTTCAAATGTATAAAGTAGACAGTATTGTATAAGAGATTGTCAACTAGATACATTACTAACTTTGACATTTACCAACTCAATCATGTTGCATATATATTGCATAAGCATATATAGTCCCACCCCCACACTCTGCCCTACCTTCTTCTTCTTTATTGTTCCTTATGCTCCTTTAATCAAACCAATTGTCTACTCTGCAGTGGTTCTCAACCTGTGGGTCGCGACCCCTTTGGCGGTCAAATGACCCTTTCACATGGGTCACCTCAGACCATCCTGCATATCAGATATTTACATTACGATTCATAACAGTAGCAACATTACAGTTAAGAAGTAGCAACGAAAATAATTTTATGGTTGGGTCACAAAATGAGGAACTGTATTTAAAGGGCCAGAAGGTTGAGAACCAGTGCTCTAGGGGTGTCTTTTATAGTTAGTAGAGTTGAGTTTGAAGGAAGCTTCTTGTAAAAAAAAAAAAAAAGGTGCTTGGCGAGCAGAATGTACACATTCTTGAATCAGGCTTCATTGATAGGCACTGGGTTTGAGCTTAATTCTAATGTCAGCACTCTCTGGGTAGCTCTGAGACCTTCCGTAAGTGGTTTGGAATCCAACACCCTATCTGACCCAGGAAAGAGACAAAGATACTACCTGTGGTCTAGTCCACCTTCCAGCCAATATATAAAGTGTCTGTGTGTTCTTATCTATGCTAGTGGGTGTGAGTCAATCCTCATTTAGGGTGCAGGTCTCTTTGGAGGGTATCCTCAAGACTGAAATGAATGCTATGTATTAATTAATATAGTTTTAACTTTCTAGGACTAGAAACTATTAATTTAGTCATTCCCCACTGAGAGGACAAAGACAGGTCCAGGCTCTAGACATTTCCCCCACCTCCGAGATATTGACGAAGATACATAAATCTGATTTGCGTGGTTGGTCTTCTCAGAGTGCTTCGGTGTTAACCCTGGGTATCCTTTATCCCCTCTGAACCTCCTCGTCTATATTCTTGCAATAGAGCTATCTCTGTTTTCTTTGGCTTTTCTTCAAGCCCTCCCCTGTAAGGATCTCATTAACCAAGGACAGGATGTCATAGTTCAGGGCAAATTAGTGACCACTTTTGCTTGGGGACAGTCTCTGGTTGGTTATTTTGATGTAAAGGCCCAGCACAAAGCTCTTGTTCCCTGCTGCTTGATTAACCCTTGCTTTCATGTTGATTTCTAGCTCCAACCACTGTTCCAACACCACCTAAGGTTTTCAGCTCTGCTCCTACAACTCCAGGGACCACGAAGAACCGCAAGACAGGTAAAGCCATTTGTTTCCAAGGCCAGAGGCCTTATAGTAAGAGGGTGGAAACCACCCAGGGCATGTGTTAAAACGTACAATTCAGGGTAAGGGTTCTTAGGTGGCTCCAAGCGAGGGTTTCATAGCATCTGTGAACTCCAGTCTCATAGCCAGATTTTGTAACTATAAGTATTTTCAGAATAAGAAGACTCATTGGGTTTTCTTAAAAATCGTTATTATTGAAAGTATTACAGATATTCCCTTTTCCCCTTCATTGACCCCTTCTTGTCTGCACCCGCTCCCTCACCCCCCCGCCCCCACCATGTCTTTAATACATTATTGTCAGTGTCCATGGGTTATGCTTATATGTATACAAGTTCTTTGGTTGATCTCTTCTTCTCATCCACCCATACACCCCCGCCTTCTCTCTGAGACTCGCCTGTTTGTTACATACTTTTAGGCTCATTGGTTTTTCTGGTCAGATTTTCAAAAGCATTCACTATTAGCCCAAACCCCCAGATCACTGATCTTTGATATCTAATGAGGATGGTGTGGGTTTTGCCCAATGAGCACAGGCTTAAGAGGAAACTACAGGAAATGACAGAGAAAAATGGTCAAGTTAATGGCATTCTGTTCTCCCAAGGAGTTCTGAATAGGGATCCTTTACTTCACTCTGAAGTGAGACCCTCTACCTGAGAATAAGATTGTAGTGAAGTTAATATTCACTCTGTCTCCTATGTCAGGAACCATGCTAAGTACTTTGCAAATGTTATATCATTGAATTCTTATGACAACCCTATGCGTTGTAGGTGTGATTCAGTCTTATTTTATAGGGTGCTGTCAAGTAGATACAGCACCAGCTTTAACAATTGTCCTTTCAATCTTATTGCATATACATTGTGTAAGCATTGAAATAGACAAGTTCATTAGAAAAACTGGTTAATTTTTCTTGTATTTATTGTTCCTTATGTTCCTTTAAAATGATTTTTTTGCATGTTCGCTTTCCCCTCCATACTATATTTAAAATTGGAGGAAAGAGCTTGGGTTGTATCTTCCTAAAAGCCTCTGATTATACCTCTGACCAGGGTCAGCAAATAATAGCCCAGGGCCAGATTAGATTCAAATTGGACCCACCAACTGCTTTATAAATAAACTAGAGGCCCGGTGCACAAAAATTTGTGCAGTAGGGGGAGAGGGGGGGTCCCTCACCCTGGCCTGTGCCCTCTTGCAGTCTCGGACCCCTCGGGAGATAACGACCTGCTGGCTTAGGCCTGCTCCCGGGTGGCAGAGGGCAGGCCCAATCCCTAGGTGCAGCCCCTGGTCGGGCTCAGAGCAGGGCCGATTGGGGAGTCGGGGTGCCGCCCCCTGTCATGCACAGAGCAGGGCGGATTGGGAGGTTGCGATGCCACCCTCAGTCACGCTCAGGGTGGGGCCGATTGGGGGGTTGGGGCACTGCCCCCTGTCAACCTCAAGGCAGGGTCGATGGGGAGGTTGCCGCGCCACCCCCTGTCATGCACAGAGCAGGGCCAATTAGGGGGTTGGGGCGCTGCCCCCTGTCACGCACAGAGCAGGGCCAATCAGAGGGTTGGGCGCTGCCCCCTCTCATGCACAGAGCAGGGCCCATCGGGGGTTGGGGAGCTCCCCCCTGTCATGCACAGAGCAGGGCCAATCAGGGGG